AAAGAAAAAACAAAGAACATTTTAAAATATAAAATTTTTCTTTTTTAAGTTATATAATTAACGTAAAAAAAAAACAAATGATTGTTATGTCATAGAATTATCTGATAATTGTCCATATATTATATACATTGAATATACATATAAACGTATGTATATTCAAGAAATTTAACATACATATAAAATACTATGAGCATTAGTATTTTATACAAAATTAAAATAATTATAGAATGTTCTGACATAGAAGAAAAAAAAATATTGCCGTTCAAATACAAGATCATAACATAAATAAATTCGATTATATTAGCTTAGAATTAGAACATGATTATACTTGCAACTGAACTTATTTATGTATATGTGTATATGTTTTAAAACCTAATGTAAGAGTACTAATTATTGGAAAAATATCATAAAATATTATGATGCTAATATTATATTGTTCTTTATCATCGATAATATTAATGAAGACTTCATGAATTATTGTATTAATCTTATCAAATAATAAAAGCAAAATGATTTCGGTGAAAAATACTGTAACTATCACAACAAATGAAAGCTAATTGCCAATTCTTAACGCACAATATAACATGATCTGTATAATAAATGACCTATAAAAAGATAAGGATCACTAATAATGAAATCCTATCAAAGGAACTGTCACTTGTTCTTTTCTAATGTAACCGTTTAGTTAATTTCATTTAGAAACATTTAGAATTTGTCATATAGAGCAAAATATTTCGTCTCTTTAGTAACTTTCATATTTACTATGATTTCTTTTCCTTTATTCTTTTTCTTTTTTTTTCTTTTTCAGCATATATAATATTAATATTAATATATTTATTTTATAATAGCAGTATCATGATTAAGGCCGTTAGAGCTGACAGTAGGCATTTGCAGTATAAATATAATCTAAACACATATTTTACCTATGTAATATTATTTCATTAATACCTATATTTTTTCTTTTTTCTTTCTTTTCTTTTCTTTTTTTTTTCCTTTTCTTATTGTATTGAAATTATGCTGCCAATTAATATATACATAGTACGTAGTAAAATTCGTATGTACAATGGCATGTGAGCTTGTAATGATGCTGCATTGAAAAAGGTAGTTGGTGTATTTAACAGTCAAACGAGCTGTACTTCTAACTTCTGGAAGCATGTAGTTTCCTTAAGATTTTAATAAATATTACGATATATTCGTTATTCAGAAAATATAAAGGCAGGTAATCAGTTATAATATTGAAATACTGGTTAATGTATATTCTATAAGTCATTGAAATAGATTTATATAAATCGTTAACTATTTAGGAAAAATTAAGAGAAATATTATATATCGTATGGGGAAAAAAAGGAAAATATTATCAAAAGATATGCAATTAGCAAATATTTGTGACCTTCTTAAGATTCCTTTTTTTTTTCTTTTCTTGAACGATCGCTATCGTCTTTTTCCTTTTATTTAGACGATTTATCGTCAACATTGTCAGCTGCATTTACATCCATTACGTATTTGGCACTTTTAGAATGCCGAAAAAGAATCGATACTCGTAGCAAAGATGAATACATGAAAAAATAATGAGAGTTAATGAAGAAATATATTTTCTTTTCCCGTAAAGAATTTTAGTATCTCTATTTTGTTGTATGGGAGCGCTTTCATATTGCTTTAAGTTCTACACATTGAAACACCTACTGCCATTTCTTATTTTGATTTTTGAGAATAATTTTATATTATCATAGTTACTTATAAGTGATAAGATCTTGAAATAATTATTAATCCAAAAATCATGTAAACAAACTTTTGATCAAATTCAAGTTTGTCAATTTTCAATGATATATATATATATATATATATATATATATGTATGTGAGTGTCAATGACTATATTTATTCTCTTAAAATTTCGTTTAAGTTCTCTGATCCTTCATTTACAATTGTCATAATATATCCAGGTACGTATATTATATCGTGCAAGTATTTTTCTTCAAAATACTTAAAATATATATAGATATATATATAATATAGAAAATGAAATTAAAATTGTATTTTATATTTTATAGGAACATCCGTCTTGGAGGGTTCTTAGTTGAAATGCAGCAACAACTTTCAGTATTTATTTAACACTCTTTCGAGGCCTACCACGTTGTTTAGTTTCACTGCTTACAGTTTGATTAAGAGTTGATCGTTTGGCAGTATGTGTACTGGTTACTTTATGCACAGTTCTTCCTACTTCTATTTTATATAAATCTAAAGAAATATCTTCACTTTCAATCGCTTTTCTAGACCGCCGTGTACGTCCAGCTATTCGTTCCATTTCGTTAAACTTAGTTTGTAATCTTTTAGCAAATTCAAAATCTGCTTTTTCTTGGAGAACTAATCTTTCTATTCTTTCTTGTTCTTTAATTACTTCTTCGTTTGATAAAACATTCTCATTGACTATTTTAGCATTATGGGCATTATAATCTGATATTGTTTCTTCTGATGCAAGACATGGGTTTAATCGATCATAATTATGTTTATTGTTGTTAGGATTTTCTTTACTTAAAACCTCTTGATCATATTTTGGGAAAGAATTATTGACTACTGTTTTGATATTTCTATTTGACTTTCTTAATCCATGAGTAGTAGTGTTGCATTGTTTATTGAGACTATCTACATCATCTTTTATATTTTCACTTTTGATTCTTAATGTAGGCTTGTGTGAACAATTCAACTTTATCCTTTTTTGTACAGTAACTGCAGATTGTTCACTCGTTGATGTTTCATTATTACTTTTTCTAGATAAAGCTCTTTTCCTTATACTTCTTTTAGTTGTAGATTTCCTTTCATCTTCGCTATCTACTTCCAATATTTTGTCTTGTTCAACTTGTGAATTTTTTCTTTTGACATTTACTTTCCTCTTTTTAATTCTTTCCGCAATATTTTCTACAGCTAGATTATCCCTACTACCTTCTTCCTGTTCGTTACATTCTAAACGTTCCTTAGGATTATTCAATGAAGAATCAAAACTCGTTACAATATCATTTACCTCTTCTTTATCTAATGTTAACTCGATATCTTTTCTTTTTAACAACATATTTTTCTGTCTCTTACTTTTTCCCACCATGCCATTCTTTATTTGCGATTTCCATGTTTTTTGGACCTTTCCTGAAGTTACATGCTCATCTAAGATTTGCTTTTTACTTACTTTAGTACCATTAATTGTTTTATTTATACTCTTGGCATAATTCTTATTACTATCAAATGATAAATCAGGAACCAATTCAAGTCTGCGTATAGCATCATGTATCTGAGACTTAAATGATTTATTATTGAATTGATGGGTAAGAGAAGTTGATGGATGTTGTTCAGCTTCATTTATTTTCTCTTTTGAATTACACACAATCTCTTTTATTTTCATATCTTGCCTGATTTTACCTATAATATATTATACATTATATTAATATTATTAAATAATTAATATTTTTTTATTATTTTTATTATTTTTTAATCATGTTCTTTTTGAATACACACCTTTAAAAGCACTCCATGAACATCCAATAATTCTCTTTAAATGAGTTGGAGATGGAGCCTTTGGTAAAGCATTAGATATTCTTTTTAAAACAGGTATCACTCTAACCAATCTTGGTTCAATTTGTTTTCCATCTATATATTTCATTATAAGAACAACATATTAACAAAATTGCATAATTGCATAATATATATTATATAACAAACAGATAGAATACTATGAAAAGCATTATACCTATGGACATTTTGAAAGGTGTTCGTGGCATTGCCTTAATAGGTTTAAAGTGATGAATTTCTTGATTGATACTATCATGACTACCTGCACTTTCTGCACTGCCAATTCTTTCATCGCCATTTCCCGAAGTGACACAAACTTCTACGCCTAAACTTTTTTTTTTACTATTTAAAACGTCACTGGGTACACGTAATTCTTCTTTGCTCTGCATACCATAAATTTTGGAAGTAGAACACCCTGGCTCCAAAGAATAATTTGAAGTTCCAGGCTGAGTAAATTTAGTTACCACTTGATGTTTTAGAGTTCTTGCAATAGTGTTATAAATAGGCATAGATTTTTGACAACAAAATTTAGCAGTAGAGTCTTTATATGCATTTGATGTATTTGGTTTTATATTGGATGAATATCTTTCTGCACGCATTTTAGATATTAAAGCAACATTGGACCGTCTCAACTCGGAATCATTTTTTAACTCTGGAATATTCATTTTTCTTGTTTCCAAACTTTGTCCATCAAATTTAAAAATTTCGGTATTAAGCAATGGCATTGACTTAATATCAAACTTGGATGTATCAAGAGGACAATTTGACACCGATGAAGTTACACATTCATTTTGATATAACTTCACCTCTTTCTGTTTATCTACTAGTTGCTTCTTTGCTAAATTCTGAGCTAGTAATTGATCTTGCGCTATTTGTGCAAATTGTTGCTCCTGTTCTTCGACTTGAATTTTTCTTATCAATGCCTCGCTAGCAATGTCTTCATTCTCTCTTCGACGTCGCATTTCTTCTTCAGCCATTTGAAGTTGTGCTTCATATTCTCTTCGAATTTCTCCAGCAGCACTAAGTATCTTACTCCTTGCTGATAATCCTATGAAATAAATAAATTAATTTCTCTCTTAACTAAATTTCTTTAAATCTAAATAAGAAACACGTACTATATAGTGATTTTAATGTGTTTAAGCATTATTGATAATAAGTACAATACATACGCATATGGGAATAATGTGTGTGTGTGTATTTGTGCGTGTATGTGTGTGATTTGTGCGTTATGTGTGTGTATTTGAGCGCGTGTGTGTGCACTTTAATGAAATTAGGGTTATGTTATGTTTGTTTATTGTTACGTTGTGTCACCCACCAACGTCTAATTCACTTTCTCCGTCATCCCCATTATATTTATTTTCAACCTCTTTGGGAAATTTAGTCCTGATGAGATCCCAAAGTGCATTGTTGACCAATGTTTCAGACTTGGTAGCTGTACGAAGCCAAGAACCTACACGAACTCTGCAAAGAGGACAACTCAGGCTGTTATGTTCAAAGGTTCCTTTCAAGCACCGTAAACAGAGGTTATGTGTACAAGGAAGTGTCACTGGCTCAATTAATAAACCGCGGCACACGGGACACATTAAATCTCTTATATTCACATCTGCGGAAGATCGCAACAATGAAATATCAAATAATTTTGACGTTCGTTTTAAATATGTCGCCATCTTTTCATATTCTTTCAGGGGGGTCAAACTCGAGCAAGAAAGCTAAAGTTTCAATTATATTGTACTAAAATCATAGGTGGCCTTAGTGTATTGAAAAAGTGCCATCTTACTAGTAAAAAATGAACTACTCAAATTTAACGCTAATTCTTGTGACAATTTATTTAGCATCAATTAGCCAATTTTTATTCTCCTAAGATATTGGATAAAATCATTAAGGCTTAGTTTTTAATATTATTTTTGGTTTTTAGATGATGCTTTATATAGATATTAACGCCATCTGTAATTTTTTCTGTAGGTAAAATATCATAGAATCTCTATACTTTTTGATACTATTCAGTTTATAATCTATGGAAGTTATTATACGATACAATTCAATTTATACGAATTTAACTACGTATTCCAATTGTGATTAAATAGTGAATCTAACAAGGGTTACTATTAGCAACATTATGTCTCCGAGATTAAGGAAACGTAAGATATAAACACTAATATTTACAGTAATTCAATGTCATAAAGACAATCGTATAACATGTGTCCTATATTGTTTGCGTCGGCTTGGCTGTAATACCAAAATGGCGGTTATTTTGAGGAAGATAAACTTATAATTAACAGTATATCAAGAAATTGCCTTTTATATTAAGATATATCTTTGAAATTGTATTTTTATTTCTTTGAATAATTTAATCTTTTTACAATATTATACTATTTCTAATTATACGTTTATTGTTATATATAAATTCTAATAATAATAACGCTGCTTGATATTTCATACATCTTTTTCAATTGCAGGTCGTACAATGGATACACCCGGTGTTACCACAAGAAAAAGAGCTAGAACACTTAATTTGAGAAATAAGAATTCTAACTCTTCGCAAGATTTTGAGAAAAATATTGAATATAAGAAAAAAAGTGAAATCAATGTTTCACTCCAAAGAATGAAACAACCGAGAACGATAAATTCTTTAAATAAATCATTTTCAGAAAAAAACACAAGCTTAGAAAAATCAAAGAAAAGTTATACTTCCAACAGGTTTAGTATGATTAAAAATCTTAAGCCAAAGGCAAATAAATCTATTGTACATAATGATTCTGTAAGTGATATTGAGAACGTAACGTGTGAACTATTTAATGATCCATCTTTCAATTTGGGTATGAATAATGAACAGAAAAGCATTCAAGACTTATCGCTAAATAAAATTGTTACTCCTAAAAGTAGTCCTATTTCAATAACTTTAACACCTCAGAGGACTACCAAGACGCCAAAAAAATCACCTTTACATTTAAATTCTCCTAAGACGCATTCTAGAGTCTCTCTTACAACATCAAAAACACCTAGAAAATTAATGCTTTCTGTTCATTCTCCTACTATATTTAATAAATCTGAAAAATCTTCAAAAAGCAGAAAAAGAATGAATGAAAGTACATTAAGTAATGATTCAATGAGTAATATTAAAGTAAAATTAAACAAATTAAAGATAAATCAAAAGGAAATTCGTTCATCTTCCAAAAAGATATTAAGGTTATCTAAATCTCCAAAAATTGTATTAAGATCTCCAAAAAAGTCTAAAAGTAAATCATCAAAAATGAGATTATCTAGTAAAAAAAATACGAGCTTTACGATATTAAACACAAAAAAATCCCCGAAAAAGGATATATCAACAAAAATCTCTAATCGTTCCAAGAAAAATTATGTAGTTAACAAATCATTGTCGAGAAAAGCAGATAACTTAGATATAACTTCGACAAATTCAAATAATCTATCTGCTTTATATAAAGAAATAATATCAAAAAAGCCAGTGATAATACTTGAAAGAATCCCATTATTGGAAAACTTCATTCGATCATCTAAGTCCATAAATAATCAACACCTAATGAATAGCACGTTTAACGTCAAACAAATAGAAAAACAATTGTTTAATATTTCAAATTCTTTAAAAACTTTATTTTCATTATGTCCAACAAAAAAAGAAGAATTAAATAATATAAATACTTTAAATTTAACATCAAGCCCAAAAATAAAAAGTAAATCGCATCTAAGAGTAAGTGATAATATGTTACTTCATTTATCACCAAAAGCATCAAGTAGTCCTGTAATTGAAAAAAGAATACATAGAATGTCTATTGGTTTCAATTTGACTAATAAGACAAATAAATTTTATAATAGCAGTCAAAATAACACTATTAATGTTAATGAAAAGAAAACTAATATAGCAGATCAGACATATGAGCTTCTTGAGCCAAAAACTCCGTGCTTACAAGTACAATGCAGAAAACGTAAAGCAGCAGAAAAGAACTCTAATAATGAAAGAGATACAAAAAGAACATGTAAAGTTCATTTTGCTGCTTCAGAATCTTATATTAGTAGATCGCGGATAACAACATTAAATAATATAAATGCTGAGCTTAATTGTCCTATTTCATTATTCAAAACAAGATCTGTATCCAATAGTTCAACAAATAAGAATACACAGAATTCTGAAATTAAAAGATCTCTTCTTAACAATACTAGACAAATAGAAAAGACACCCTCATCTACATTAAAAAAAACAAAATTTATTGGAAGTGAAGTGAAAAAAGGTGAAATATCATTTAAAAAACAATTCAATTTAAATACAATAAATTTGAATATTTATATGTGTATGTGCGTGTGTATATGTCCATATGTAATGATATAAATTATATTTAATTGCAGATATCAAACTACATAGTGCCACAAAAATTCCAAATTTTCATGAAATACACACAAAATTGTTCTCTAAAATGGAATCTCTTGTAGATAATAGACTTCGCCTGAGAAAGCAACATAAAGCATTAAGTAATGATCATATAATAAAGTCATTTAAAATATTATATAATACATATTAAAGTTTATGTGAATTAATTATGCATTTATTGTTCACAGAATTACTCAATGTTTCAAAATTAAATACACCAAAAAATGTAAAACCTTTGCCAACTAAAACAAAAAATGACAGTTACAATAAATTTGGTTTTAAGATAAGGAAACCTGAAGCCACCAACATTGTTTTAACAAAAAAACCGCCAAATCGGCAGTAAGTAAAAATATTTAAATTATCGTCATCTTTTTATTATGTGCAATAAATATATATATATATATATATATATATACATATGTTTGTAGACAAGAAAAACGAGAAGAAAATAGAGTGTTATTGAAAGGTGTAAGAACAAATAGGCGATTTGAACTACAAATGAAAATGCGTAACTTATCTAACTAAGTAATATTAATAGATATTTTTTAATATTACTCAATATAAACCGCTATTAAGTAAGAGAAAAACAATGGTTAATTTGGACTATACTTTTTGTTATAACATTTTAAACAGTCATTCGTTGATTATTTTATTTTTCATTGTTTACCTAATATTTCAAAAAAATATATATATATACTAAACCAAAATATTTAATTAATTAACAAAATTTGACACATAGAGATTATTCTAATATATTATAGTTTTAAATATTAATACAGTATTACTTTTAGAATCTTCAAAAGACTCTAAAGTATCATATTCTTTATATATATATATAAAAACATAATAATCTTCACATATCTTAGTTTATATGATTATTTTTTAATTTAATTATAACACCTATTTGTGTACTTTCTACTTACTCACTTGCTGTATGTAACTGTAATGAGAACAGTAAAAGTAAGAATGAACGTTCTATTGTTTTAATTTACTCGCGTAATATAAACATTTTACAAATAAAGACTAATGTGCGGATCTACATATTTAGGAATGTTTAAGAGACAATTAAACGTACATATTTGCGAATTGCCAAAAATCTCTGATAGCAATTTGCCAAAGTTACCACCTAATGCAAATATTTTTACTCGTTGGAAACGTAGTTATACAAAATTAATCTTAGTCTCGGCGAAACATCCACTTACAAGTTTTTCTCTGCGCAGTCGTGCTGCTATAGCTTTTGAGAAAAGAAGACATGGTCGTTCATTGCTTTGGTGGATAATACATCCATACAGCACTTTAAGGTATCGTTAAAAAGATGTGTATAATAATTACATTATAAAACATGTAATCTTTCAGATTTTTCTGGGATCTATTGATGATAATTACATATTTGTATATTTTCATCATGGTACCATATATCATGACATTTCATAGAATAGCTAAAAACACAGATACTGAATCGTGGATAATTGTTTATCCAGCATATGTAGTTTGTATAATTGATATAATCCTTAATTTTATAACTGGATATGTATCAACCGACGGTAATGAAATATTTCTGAATCCTGTTTTAATAGCACGGTAAATTTATAAAGATTTTTTGAAGAAAATCTCGATGACAGAAAATTAGATATATTTAATAATATTATTTATCTTCAAGGAATTATGTAAAAAGATATTTTTTCATAGACCTTGTTTCCTCTATTCCTTATACTTGGTTTTATAAACAACGCATATTGCCACCTGGACCTAATTCAAATTCCATATTTCTTTTACTCGAGATCTTGCCTATATTAAAGATTATAAGATTAGGTACACTGTATCATTATCTTAGACAACTTAATATTGTAAGTTTCTATAAGATAACAATATTTTCTAATGTATTATTTAAATAAGCTAAAAAGAATAATATATTCGTTTAACAGACTTTTGGATGTTCTCATGCCAAAAAAATAATTACTTGGCTTATTATCCTGACTTTATTAATTTTTCATTGGAGCAGCTGTTTGTCTTATCTATTTCCATATATTGTAATGCATATAATCGGAGATAGTATGGAGGTATGAAGATTCAACGATTATTACAATTATTATATTTATAATATATTAATGATTTGTAGAACTCCGGAACATATTTAATACACACAGGATTATATAAACAATCTGATTGGATTATTTATTTACAATCTTTGCATATTGGTTTAAGTAATTTAATTGGATTTAATTTTATTGAATTCCAATCATTTGGAACTTTAGATAAAATTACTCACTGTATATTACTTACCTTTGGAAAAGGCTACATGATTTGCACGATTGGAAAGTATAATAATTCTTTTTTAATGTAATATATTTTTTATTAAAATTAATATTTCAATGTATTATAAACAATAGTGCTTATCTTGCAATTATTTGAATCGTTGGCTGAATCAGAGCTAAAATACCATGAAATTATACACGGTGTAACAAATTATGTTAAAGAAAAAAAACTTCCGAAACATCTTCAAGATAAACTTCTTGCTTATTACGAATACAGATTTCAAGGGCATTTTTTTAAAGAGCAAGCTATATCAAATACTCTTTCTAGTCAGTTTAAAAAAATACAAGAACTATATGATTTTCAAATTTTAATTGTTAAAGAAAATTTGCATCAATATATATTTTTTAGATCATCTTAATCAAGAAATTATGATACATAGTAGTCATGGTTTATTAGAAACTGCAAAAATACTTCAAAATTTACCACCAAATGTGCTTGGAAATTTAATTGGTAACATTTAGATTAAATAACAAAAATTAAAATTTTATTTCAATAAAATTGTAGGTAAAAATTATTTTTTTAAAGTAATATTTTAATTTTTTTTTTACAGTGGTTTTAAAACCAGTTATTTACATGGAAACCGATGTAATTTATAAATATCATAAAGAAGGTGATTGTATGTACTTCATAGCTAGTGGAACAGTTGCACTAATTACTTTTTGGGGTAAAGAAGTGAGTAATAACAATTGATTTAATTACAAATAGATCGTATAATATTATATTATTGTATATGTATTAATAAAATAGATTGTATTCATTTATTCAGATTTGCCATCTTGAAAGTGGTGATCATTTTGGTGCCGAAGTTTTACTTAATTCTCAAAAACGAAGATATGAATCAGTTTTAGCTTTAGAAGTGTGTGAACTTCTACGTTTGGATCGTCAAAATTTTAAACTTGTTGTTCCTCGCGAATCTGAATTATTCAATAGAATTGAAAAAGATACAATGAAGAGAATTAAGTTAATTGAAGAATTGGAAAAGCTGCATCAAAGGTCTGAAAAAGCAAAAAAATAAATTAAAAAAAAAAAAGGGAAAAAATCATTTAAAATATCGAATTTCATATACTATTTCATTTTTATGTATAATTTAATTAAATAATTCATTAATTTAAATCGTCATTCGCGCGCGTATAATTGCAATTTTAATTTTATATTTAATTGTATTACTAGCGCCACGTTGCGCCTTAAATAAGAACTAAATCACGTTATTCTTAGTCCAGTTTAATCAGATTTGGTTAAGTTAGATTTCCGTTCCAGGAAAGGTTAACGTTCAAATTAATTTATTAATCATTTTATATATACAAATATTTTTAAAGAAATAATTTATTTCAATTATTAATGAAGACGGCTACACATCAAAGACTAGTTATGGTTGGCGATCGCGATGGGCAAGTAGAATTCAATTAAATATTTTTACGAATAGTTAAATATGGAAGTTTGTTTATAAACAACTGATATTTATTAAATATCTTTGATGTAAAACAATAAAAAAGTTAAGAAATATTATTAAAAAATATATTGAAATTTAGTGAAAGTAAATTAAAGTTGATGCACCTAATTTTAGATTGAAAGAACTTTTAAGACGACGATTGGTGGAATGTGGATGGAGAGATCAGGTTAAATTAATCTGCAAAGAAATAATAAAAGAACATGGTCACGATATAACTTATGATACGCTACTTTCTATGGTAACAAGTAAAGCACGAACACTTGTACCTGATTCTGTCAAGAAAGAACTATTACAAAAAATAAAAAATCAGCTTGTAGCTCAAGAAGAAAAATTGAAAATGTAAAAATCTTACAGATTTTGTGACTTTCTTTTGTTACATTAAATACGACTTACATACTAAATCTATGTATATATAGATATTTTTAATATTTGTTCTATATTATATAAACTAAAAGAGCTATATTTAAACAACATGATTTTTAAATAGTAATTTTCAAAACTTTGATATAATAAAATCGCAATAACATTGTATTAGACAAAAAATTGATCTTACCATAGTTAGTATTTCTTTAAATTTAGATTGTAGGACTAATCTGATAATAAAAAATATTTTATATCTTTTGTAAATAATTTGAATTGTATCTTGTTTATATTAATACGTTGAGTGTCATGCGAATTTATAAGAAAATCCCCATCAGGCCATTTGCGTTACTTAGAAGTGCGCTGATATTGTAATATAGCCATTGTTTCTTATTGTAATAGAAAATATTTGCGTTTAGAACAAAATGCTTATGGATATTCATTCAACATGTTAAGTGCCAAGTTTGTTTTGTCTTGCTTATCGTTTGCTTTCATCGAAATAGACTTGCGGTCGGGGATCTTTTTAAGTTACGATAAAACAATACAAAAATTTTAGAAATGTCTTATGTTTATATTGTGTTATCTGTGATTCTTAGTCCAGTGCAAAAAAAAATCTTTCTTTAGCCTTAAATGTGAAAATGTCAGTCGAAGAGTATGAAAGCGATAGTAGTGAAATTATTTTTTCTAAAAAATGGCGCAAAGTGATTGTTTTTTCGTCATCAGAGGAAGAGGAGGAGAATGCCGAAAAATGGCATGATCCGAGAGGTGATCAACCAAAGCTTATGCCTTTTACCAGTCCTTCTGGGTTTATAATTGAAAATTTGAATATAAGATCAGATGTAGCAATAGAAACTTGCTATGAACTATTTGTGCCGAATCAATCGTTCGAGGAAATCGCCGAACAAACGAATTTATATGCATCACAGCAATTAGAAGATAGATACTCGCAACGTTTGAGCAAGTGGACAGTGACAAACAAAAATGAAATAAAAAGATTTTTTGGGCTAATTCTATGGATGGGGTTAGTTAAATTACCATCATTACATTTATATTGGTCCCATGATCCTGCATATATGCAAACATTTCCGAAAAAAATCATGTCCAGAAACAGATTTGAACTATTGTTGAGAATGATACATTTTGCAGACAACAGAAAGAGTAACGGTTCCAATCGTTTGTACAAAATACAACCACTTATAGACACTTTAGAAATAAATTTTAAAAAATATTACAATCCAACAGAGGACATATGTATTAATGAATCATTGATTCCGTTTCATGGCTGTATTATATTTAGACAATATTTGAAACAAAACCGCTACAAATATGGAATTAAAATATTTAAGTTATGTTGCGGATCTGGTTATACGTATGCCCTTCATGTATACATAGGGAAAACTCTAAAAAAGGAAAACACTATGCCCACTAAAATCGTAATGTCTCTTTGTAGAGATATATTCGATAAAGGACATACGCTGTATACCAGTAACTGGTATACGAGTATAGAATTGGCGAACAAATTAATTGATAAAAATATTCATTTAGTGGGAACATTACATTCAAGTCAATGGAATCTTCCACAGCAAGTAATATTGAAAAAGTTAAAACAGGGAGAAATTATTGCAAAGGAGAATAAAAAAGGAATAACCATTTTAAAATGGAAAGATAAGCGGGATATCTTACTTCTGTCAACAAAGCATTCATCAGAAATGGTGAATGTTAAAAGTCGATCAGAAGACAAGTTGAAACCACAAATTGTAGTAGCCTATAACAGAGGAAAGGCAGCTGTCAACTTATCTGACCAAATGAATGCCTATAATAATCCACTACGCAGATCTATGAAATGGTATAAAAAGCTAGCCTTTGAGCTTTTATTAAATACTGCAATTCTGAATGGTTACATTTTATACAAAAATATCACAAAGAAGAATATCAGTATCAATGAATTTCGGACGAAATTAGCTGTATATCTCACAAATTGCTGGGACGAAGATATTCCATCTAACAGTATTGTAACTACTTTTAAAAAACAACAACACAAACTTGAAAAAAAACCTGGAAAAGTCTCTAAAATGCGAAAATATTGTAAATTATGCTATGAAGAAAGTGCGGCACTATTTGGTAGAGAAATGGCCAGAAAATCTACTAAACAAGTTACCACATTTTGTAATACCTGCAAAGGACAACCGTTTTTATGTTTACCGTGTTTCAATAAAATCCATTAAAAAAACACCAGTTTGATAAGAAATATTTAAGTACATTAATGATACGATCCTGTAATAAATAAAAATGAAATTAATTTTTAGTAACTTTTAAGTAATTACTTAAAACAATGTAATTAAAAAAATATAATTTTTTTAGTTTTATGTCGTAATTTACACTGTTAGTCACCAGTGATAGACCTGATCTGAACGAAAAGTTCAATGTCAGTCACTGATGACTGACATGACACTTAACGTATTAAGATATGTATGTATAAATGGTATTTTATTATTACCATATAAAGAGTATTTTTTTAATACTAAAATTAAATAAAGAAAAATTCTATAAAAATTAAACATTGATAGAATAATATATAATTTAAAATTGATGTAGCAATGAAATTTTCTTTTATTCATAGAGAATGGAAGAAACACTATTTTAAAAATAAAAATATTGTAATATCTAAACTTTAAATCTTTTAATATCTTCAGGCTTAATATCTATTCTAAGAGATGCAATTTGTCTAACTTCAGCAGGAGTTAATCTCCATGCTATTGCATCTGCTCCACAATAATCAGCCAATTCCTCTACTTTTTCTATACTCAATATAGTGGCTATTTGAGTTAAACGTGCAAATTTATCACGCACAGACCATGATGTTGCTGCTGCTAAATAACTGGCTAATGATCTAATTTCTTTATCTAAAATAAGTCCGCCAGCCTGGAAAAGTAAGATCTGTTAATAAATGTGAATATGTAAATATATGTACACGTGGATAATTATTATATTATATTAAACGAACGCATACTCTGTTAAAAGTCGATTTCAAAATAACTTTTTCTAAACGCGCTGTAACTTCTTTAGTTAAAATACCAATAAGAGCATCATAATTTGATGTTGTTAAATTGCTCTTAAAACCTTGAAGTAAACCTTCTAAATTAGTGACTAAAATTTGTACAAAAGGTTCATCCGTTTCGTATCTTAATAATTCATCCTAAAAATATAGATAATTATTCTATCTAATATTAAGTCATTTTATTAATATTTTGATATCATGTGTAAATAAAGACTGATTTAATATAATTTTGTATTTCATACCAACCTCGTTAATATGATGATCTATGGACAAAAATGCATCTACCCAGGGTGTTACTCTAGGTTTTACGGCACTTACACGCAATTGCTCTAACCCATAATCAGTAACAGCTCTTAAAATAGAAGTTACTCCTTTTAAACCGGAAAGACAACTATCTATTTTTCCTATATCTTTTTCAGCCATATTAGGAAATGTTGTATCTATTTCTGCACTCAGAGTTTTGCATAACGTTTCAACGTATTCAATACTAACATCTGTATTGTTTAAATATGCCTAAAGTAATGAGTACAAATTAATGTTAATTTAGACATTGTTACTAATATGTAACTATATATAATAATTGAAGTATCGCTTATATTACCAAGAACATAAGACGAGCAAGTTCAGTGTCTGACGTTTGTAAACGTCCATGTTGTATACTTGTTTGCAGAGCACTATACGCTTGCGTTAAATCTAAGTATCCTGCTGAATATCCTTGGCGTAATCTATTCCTTAATCTGTTGGCAAATTCTCCTTCTAATATATCACAAGCTATATTAATAACAGCACAAACACCATCTATACTCCAACTTGATATAGAACGTCTAAATACATAATACAAATTTATGTTATAGTTTATTTACTCGTCAATAATTGTTAAATTATAAATTTAAATAGTACCTTATACATTTTTGTACTATAAAAAAAACATCGTCCACCATACTAGATATTTGTTGATCTTGCTCTAACGTGTCCATACCAACAGCTTTATTGACATTTTCTTCCAAGAAATATCTTTCTAAAGCAAGATAAGCACCTATAAGTTCTTGCATATTATGAGCTAATTCGGAATTGCAGATGTTCCTTTCAAATTCATTTAATTGATCCGTACATTGTGTAGCATTTGTAGTACTAATTTCTATGTCATTCTAAAAATAAAAAATAATTAAATACTTACGATTTTATTGGTATGAATACAAAACACTCACCTTAACTCTTCTTCTTAAGAAACGAATATATAATTCTGCCCTTGAGTGCATTATAGTGATTTCACCTAATAAGAGATCGAGCTCTTTAGGATCAATTCTTTCTGAATTTGGCTTTCTGACATATTCATTTATCATTTGTACTTTCTTAGATATACTTCTGTGTTTCATAAATTCTGCAACAATTTTTTTAACTTGCCTATATAATAATATATACATATTAATTTGTTTGGTCAAAACAAAGATATCCGTTATATATATATAGATTTTCAAAGTTAACTTTCATTTTACCTATCACATTCTTTTTGTAATATGGATACAGTCATTAGAAGTCTTCCAGGTCCATAATATGTTTCTATTATAGGTTGATGTACCTCGACAATTCGAGCTATTCCTTCAAATAATAATGTCATAGTATCCGCAAATATAACTGACGCTCGTTTATCATTATTTTTTATCTCCAAGGCAGCCTTTAAATTTTTTTGTGCTGTGTCATGAAGCTAGAAAATAAAAAAAATTTTTACGAATATAATAAATGTATTTATTTATATAGTCACAAACGACAAAATAATTACCTTTGTACACAAATAACTACAAAATTTTTTCAAACCTTCTAAATGCATTCCCAATAATGGAAATATTTTAAAAAATCTTTCAACAGATGCTAGATCTTCAGATTTCACTGCTTCATCAAACTTGTGCGTAACTACTGTTCTCAGTTGTACAGCTGCTTGTTGCAACGTAAAAAGAGAGCTACTAATAGTACTAGGATCTCCTGATACATCTTCGGCTGTTCTTTCAAGCAATTGTTGATCCATTGACAGATACCGATGAACATGTGCAGCACCTTGCTCGTAATCTTCATTTTGTAAAGCTGTTGCAACACCTTCGCTACATAATTGTAGATCTAGTATATCATTAACTCTTCTTTGACATTCGCATACTCTGCTCTATAAAGAAAATATTTTACTGTTACATATTTCTTTACAATTTTAATCATAGCATCAGTTAATTCTTTTTACTTACTCTCGCTAAATCTAATTGTCGTACTTTAGAGCTTACATTTTCAGCTAATTCGTTTGTATGTACAATCATATTTCGAAATTTCTCTGCCTCACCACGAATAAAAACAACCTTAGGTAATACTTTATTTATATTTTGTAATTTAGATTCTATATAACAATGTCTAGACAATAAGTTGTCTAACTTTTCTTTCACAATTATCTGAAATAAATTTTTCAAATTGTTAATTAATATTAAATATATTATTTTATTATAATAAAACAATGTTTTAACCTCATTTTCTGACAGTTTATTAAGCATTTGCTGAATATTATTCTCTTCTATTGGCACACTCATCTTATTCACGAATTATTAAACGATTTATACAATAATAAGCGAAAATTAAAATCTGTTAAAAGAAATTCATTTATATACGTGGTATCTATATTGTCAGTAAATGTGAAATAATTTTCGTTAAGTCCATACTTATCGATAGAGAAAATATCAATGTTAAGTCGATAAGAAAGATAACTGTGATAAATTATTTTTTTTCATGACACATTGATCAGTCAAATAATTTTTTTTAACAAAGTTTTTTACTAAGCTATTATTCATTACAAAGTTCGAATAATACGATTAATTGATATATTTGAGAAATTGGATAATAAATTAGTAAGACGCAACTTGTAAGTTACAACAGTGTAAGTGTTATACTTATTATGTCTCAAAGAAGTAAAGTAATACAAATGTATAAAACGGTAAGATTATTTTTTGAATTATTCTTAAAATTTTTATAAATATGTATATCTTTATAATTATTTATTATTTATTTTCCTTTTTATTGTAGCTTTTGTATATGGGACGTGATTATCCAAAAGGTTATGAATATTTCAGAGTGAGATTGAGAAGAGCTTTTAATAAGAATAAAGAAGAACGTAATCCTGAGCAAATAGATAAAATGATAGCACATTGTAATTTTGTTATTAAAGAATTGGAAGCTTTGTATATGCTACGCAAGTATAGAGCATTAAAAAATAGATATTATAATCAACCCTAACCTAAATTAAAACTATTATAAATATCATTGTATACTATATTATATATTCTTCTATATTCATTATTAGTTATATTATGTGTATATATATATATATGTATATATGTATAATATATATGTTATTTAATACTATTTTACAATGTAATGTAAATAAACATGATAGGTAATTTTATTATTATAACTTCATTTTACTTGTATATGATATAAAATTATATTATAAATATTATTTTTAATACTATATTATATAAAATGTATAATAGTATACAGTAAAATTTTAAATAATATATAATAAAGTATCTCTAAGTCTATATTTAAAAAAAGATTATTATGTAAAATTGTTTATATATTCAGTAATTTTATTTTCGCCATAAGCGTCGGTTTAATTACAGATAAGAACTAAAGATTGAGTAGCAGTAGTTTGATTATGCTGTCAAAGAAGATATAAATGTTTTTTTTTATAAAGTATACGTATATGAATATTAGTTTATGTTATATATTTTAGTCAAGGAATAGAAAGCGCATCCCACGTTTGTGAAAACCTCGAAACATTCAATTTTTATAGTTTCGTATAAAAAATTCGATATTATTTTCTACATTATTTAGATAAAATTGAGAGTACTTTGCATATTATAATATATATTTATATTCGTTATCATGGCTGTATGTGTGGCTGTTATTGGAAAAGATGCAAGTATTTGTTTATTTTGAATTTATAGGTTATAAAAAAAATAGTGTCTTTATAAAATATAATTTTTTTTATGTGAAAATGTGAGTTGATAAATTATTTATTTTGTCATGAAGATTTTTCTATTCTATATAGTCTGATTTTTCTGTGAAAATTTTCGTAATATTTAATTTTGTATTTATATTTTTATAGAATTCTCCCAAATATATCAAATGTGCAGATGAGGCTCTTGCCTTGCAATTTCATTACAAAGTGCATACATCTATTGATATTATAGAAGAGAAATTGAATATAGGAAACAAAACAGCTGTTGATATTCGTGATTTGTATTTAGGTTTATTACTTACAACAGAGGAGTTTAAAATGTATGTATTTAATTTCATTCTTACATATAGAATTAAATAAATCATTAGTAACAAGAAGTTTTATTTTAGCTACGGTTATGCAACGAATACAAAAATTAAATTTGTAATAGTATTACAATCATCTAATATATCATTCCGAGATAATGAAGTAAAGACGGTAATAAAATTACATTATTTTGTAATATAGTATTATTATGCATTAAATGTAAAATCATTTATTAATTGCCTTACAGATATTTAAAAAATTGCATACTGCCTATTCCAATGCGGTTTGTAATCCATTTTATGTACCAGGTAGCTCGATTAAATCAAAGTAAGATTCATCATATTTTATTGTCTTTATTAAATACATTGACTTATATAGAATATAATCATAACATTAAATTTTTAATTTTTTACTGTAATATATATACATATATTTATTAATTATGTTCTTTAGGTCATTCGATTCATCTGTGACAGAGATAATGGGAATTATATAAACATATATATTCTTCTACTGAAATATTAGCAATATTATTAAATCATTCTTTAACTCTTTTAACTATAAATACAATATATGTTCAAAAGCAAAGAAGAAATATCATGAAACAACATTAATATGTTTTATTTTCATTAAGCAGCGAATTTTTTATTCGTAAATTCAATTGAACTGCATCATACATAAATTAACGAATATTTTTTTTTTATATTTGACATGAATCATTACGAGAATAATACATTAAAGTTGCTTACTCAATGTTGCTACTTCGAATACATTTTTTATTTGTAAAAAATTAACTATGACATTATAACATATTTTTATTGTACAATATATTATTATATCCAGAAATGCAACATTAAGTAAACAATCATTTAAATGATAACAAAAATAATGTGTAGTACATACACTGTTGTACGTACATTCTATTATCATCATCATCATCATCATCATATTAAACATCGTATAACATTATATAAAATATTTCTATAAAAATATAACTGTATTTCAATTAGAAAGTTAAAGCTTATTGCCATCATTGTTTTACATCATCAAAATTATAACTGAAATAGCATAAAATAATTTAAGTTAAAGATTAATAGTAACATTTTGTTTACTAATTAGTGTCAATTTAAGTTAAATATTGAAGTAGATTATTATTCTTACATACAATGGATTTTGTTGTTTTTCTCAGTATGACGTCTATAATTAATACATAAAATCAATTATCAGTTATATTTGTGATCAATATATAAAAAATGTATCAAACAACAGTATAAAAATAAAAGTAAAATATCTATGTGACATTTTTTATGTAATTGATATAATAATTCATTATTACTTTGCTATTACAATGTAAGAAGCATCGATGATTGTTCTTTACGTTGTAAAAATGATGTTCTTGACAATAGAATTTGATTTTTGTCGAATAATAAAGGTGTTTTTTCTGAACATCTTGAGTTTTGCCAATAATCACCACTGCTGCCATTTTTATTAGATTTAATAGTCAACATTCCTTTAGATCCATATTCAGTCTGTATGTATAGATACTTCTTTATTCTTGTTTTATCTTTATGTAGTCCATAATCACGTCGAGTAGTTGTTACAAAAGACGATGATAGTAGGTTAGCCTTTGCCATTCCTATTGATAATAAAAACCTATTGGAATATATAAATGCATACACTTTTGGTTCAATGTCATAGAAGAAAATGAAAATAAAATAAATATATAATATATATTTATATTTTTCAAAAACAAGATATTTGTCAAAACAATGGCAAATAGAAGAAGAAGTATATTTTTATAAAACATTCATGCATTTAGTTTTTAAATACGCATTAATTAACTTCATATTATTATTTCGATTAAAATAATGCTAGCCTTAAATATACATATTAAATAAAACTAAGTGCCTTTAAATTGTATGATATTTTTTCTTAAACATAGCAGAATGCTATGCTTAAATCCTTGAGTTAAGACCAACTAGATATTGCGCACGCGGATTTCTATTTATAAATAAACTACGATAACTACTACTTATTAATTAAGTCATTAAATTAACAAATAAACAAATAATCTGACACAATACAATAAATAAATATAATCGAAAGGCAGCATTTTGTACGCATATATTATTATGATTTATGTGGATGATTAATCCAGAAATATTGATGATATATTATCTATCACAGTCTACTGTCAAGATACATGGTTTTTAAGCTGACAATATTCTGGATAATTGACAGAAAGATTATTTGTTATTTTCATTTGAAATCGAACTATTTCATTAAATATTTTCGCTACACCTTGAAATTGTACGAATTAACGATTAATTGATGTTGTTCCTATGCTTTCTATTGAAAACATTCGTGTTAAATTACTTTTTTTTTTTACATATGTCAGCTTTTAATAATTATTACCAACTATTTTTGCTAAACTAGAGTTTCGATAAAAGGAACAGAAAAACGCTAGATTTTTGCACAGAATAATATATTCATAAAATGCCTTATTACTTGTCACGCCGAATACCGTTGATTTGATAATACATGAATACTTGTTTTACCGACCATTTTGGCATGTTGATTTTGCCGTTGGATCTTCGGTAATTGAATCAGCATCATTTTCACTATCTGTTTCCTTAACACATTTTATTAAAAACATAGATAATGCCCCAATTATTGGCGGTACTCCAGCCAATAAGAAAGGCAAATCATAGGAACCTATATGATAAAATGAAACACGTTAAAATGAGCAAATATACATAGAATATAAATGAAATAATAATGAAATATTGTTTTAAACATAAAGGATAATAAGTCCATTAATTTACCGGTATGATCGTATAAAAGACCAGCGATTGGTGGTCCTACCGTCAAAGGTATAGAACACATTCCTAATAAAAATCCAATTGCTTGAGTTGCACCCTCACGACCACAAATGTCGAAAGCAATTGGACCTAATAATGATATGAAACATCCATCAAATAATCCCATACTCAAAGAAATGATTAGTAAAATTTTAAAAGATGGTGTTACGGTAAGTAACATCGTGAGCATACCGATGCTTAGAAATGATACCTAAAAAAATATGAATTTTTGTTTATTATTTCTGTTTCTTATTAATGCACATATCATTTATAGTGTAATGATAGAAAAATATTACCTGTTGTAATAATATTCTATTTACTTTAGGCAAATCGGCAATATATCCGAATATTAATCGACCTATTCCAGAAGTAATACCAATACACATAACTGGCAATTTTCCATCAGAGCCTTTAAATGTGGTAGCTACAAATTTTCCGATATGTACGTATGGTACAAAATATCTAAAATGTAAAAAATGATGTTAAAAAATATGAAATGTTACTTAAATGATTATTGAGTATTATTCAGCATTATAAATAATTGAGCAATACCCAAATAAAGCAAGCGGAATAGAAATGGCCCAGACAACGTATCGTTTTCTTTTCCATATAGATAAATTAATAACTTCCTTCAAACGGTCTTGAAACTTCGTAGTTTGCGTTGTTCGATATTGCGGAGATTTCTTAACTGTAAAAAAAAATGTTATATTAGTTTTTTTTTCATTTGAACAAATTTTTCAAACTTTAGCGTAACTCTTTACTCACGTGGTATCGGTTTGAAAAGTAGCGCGCAAACCATGACAATTGAAGTTAACGCTGCTAAACTTCGAAACGTTCCTTCTAATCCGAAATGTCGTAAAAGGGTTTCCATCAGATATGGTACAAGTGTTGTAAATAAAGAACTACCAGCCGTAACTATGCCATTTACTAATCCCAGATATTTTTTAAAATAATGTCCTAAAATAACTAAGCTCGGTGTGTAAGCAAGACTTGCACCGAGCCCATACATAACACCATAAGTCAGATACAATAATTCTACCTGAAGCAAAAAATTATAGAATTTTCTAAATCGAATTTAAGTTCAATCTAATTTAAATTCATTGCAAATTATTTTAACGGAAAAAGGTACCTTATCAGAGAGCATCGAAGAAAGAAGCATACCACTTGATGCAATTGCACCTCCTAAAAAGGTAGTCATCTGAATACCAATTTTATCGGTGAGGATACCAGCGACCGGCGATAGGAAAAATGTCGTACCGATGGTCAATGATCCAACCAAAGCTGTTTAATATAAGAAAAAGAAAAAAAAGAAACGTATTTATAAAATATTTTAAGATCATTTTGCAACGTTAATTTTTATAATGACGAAACAAATCTACCAAGTGAATGAAGCAAACCTAAAGCGTTCAGATGCACACTGTAGGAGCGTGTCAATATTATGTTCTGATTGGTCGAAACGAGCTCTATCCTTTTCTTATTCAATTCGCGGATCTCTATTCAACTTACAGGACTGCAATATCTGGACCGAGCAAAATATATAGATACTTTCACACCTTATACGTACGTACGTACATATATACATAGATAGATAGATACACGCATACATAAATCAGTCTACAAGAATATCGTTTTGTTTCCATTCCGATTGTTATCAAACAAAATTTAAAACTATTTCTAATCAACTAATCGTCTTAGGACGGTTGGTTTTAAAGTTTTCATAAAGATTCAGGTCATATCAGTTATGAGATACGGAGAAGCTACCATTGAATTGCAATCCCTTAACTATGATTACTATGATTAATCAAGCTATAATTGACTGTTAATTTAGATGCATGTTATTTGGGACATCAACTGTAAAAGGAGATTGATCTCATCAATGATTTAATTGATATGTTCTTTAAGTAAATGTTTAGAAAAAAGTTTAATTCCTCTCTCACACAAAAAAAAAAGATATTTAATTATTATTTATGGCATATTTTATCAATATTCATTTGCAAATCATTATGCTACTAATATATATTATTTAGAAAAAAATAGCAAATGCCGTTATAAGTTTGTTTTTCGAGCTCATTAAAATCCTGCATAATAATTAAAAAAAAATAATTATCTTTAACGACGTACGATGTGCTTACTGATAATATTACATTTGACGCAAAGAAAAAGAAAATAAAAATTTGTTGGAGATGAAAAGCGAGTAATTTATCGTCGAAGAAAATTATATCTTATTATTATTATACGAGTACGCACACATTTGCTATCAGAGGAGGAACAACAAAATGTTAAAAATGATTTGATAGTGTCGATCATTGAACCGTTGTGCTTTTATTAGGTCTTAATATAACGATTAAATGGAATATATGCAAAGAAGAGAGAGAAAGATTTTGAAAGATGAGTCGTAAATTTGGAAAGTAATTATAATAAAATAATATAAATTAGATAATGATCTCTTACATGCTTTAGAAGATACTTCCGTTTCTCCAGCTTCCATCAATTTCCTTTGTAGTTCGAGGTAAATTAAAGAGTAGGTGTTGATAACGCTAAATAAAATACCATTGATAAAGAAACTAGCCAACATGATCATCCAAGCTCTTAAACCACCATCAGGTGGAATATTAATATCAGTATTATTAGCTTCCACATCTTCTTGCCAATTTGTTTTTGCAAGTGATTCCTCGCTTTCGATCTTCTTTAATCTATTTGATTTAGAATCGTTAGATATAATTAATTCTGGTTCCTCTTCCGATGATATGAGTTTCGTCTCAGGACAAGGCTCAACGAATTCATCCGAATTTCCCTGAACATTTGCAGCCTCCAATGATTCATTCGTGTTTGTTAGTTTTTGTTTAGTTCGACCATATTCTTGTTCAAGAGAGTTATTACTTAAAACGTAAAGATTAGCGTTACGTTTATCTTGAACATTATCGGTAACTGTCATTTTTGATGATATTAACAAAAATTTGCAATTTTGCAAGCCTGTAACATTACATAAAAAATTACCTTCATAATACAATAATGGTTTGTAGATTGTTTGTATTTCAAATTTGCTAATAGATATTTCGGAAAAACAAATATTTATTTAAATATTAACAAGAATACATTGTATCATGCCAAACCGAAAGTATTACACTACCGTTGTAGTAACGCAACAGGTAGACTGTTCTTGCATCATCTCAAAATCAACAACGAAGAGTAGACTGTGGCGAATCAAACCAACGCGTCGCTGTTCTCTGATTTCAAAAAAAAACTAATCTAATAAATCTTGAGAGATGTATGCCTGCATTTTAAGAAATGTTCTTATGACCTCATATTTTATGCAATCTACATCCGAATTTGATATCAACTCTGTTATTTAATACGATAATTTCATTAAAAAAAAAAAAAAAAAAAGTAGAAAGCCTCTTAACGAGGAATATTTTAAATTTGTGGAAGAAAAGTGCTGAAATATTAAATATTAATGTAGACGAATGTTTATCTTATCGGCATATTTGTTTTTTCGGAATTTTCCAATTTTCAAATCAAATTATTCAACAATATCTCGCTGAATGATGTAAATCCAAATCGACTAGTTAATTTGATTGTGAACGAATTACTTAATTAAATCAACATTAAATACTCAATTAATTTTGTTTAATTATGGGATACAGCATAGGACTTCACTATGATTAGCCATAAGAAAATGACGACTAATTGAATAAAACAGCCGTTCGTCCAACAAAATTGATTATTAGCAATAACAAAGATAACGCTTCCTTCTAATATTACTATACGCGTTTAGTTTAATGGTATCTTACATGTTGAGCCAGCCGTATTTATATTTCGAATGCGGTTTCATCGTAACGATCCAGCCGTTTTACATACTGCAATTACTCTACTCGCATATCTTCCTACATCGTTAACTACGTGAGTCCAAAGCAAGTAGAATTCAAATAATTGGCGTAAACTTTGCATGTTTTTTACAAACTCTATCATCCTAAAGATATAAAAGATTAATTTCATATACGTTCAATGTATCCTAATCACATCGTACATTTTGGTATATCCTGATAATATCAATCAAAACCTTTTAGGATCTCACAAAATAGAGCCTCGTAGATGAAGGAATAAAAGGTCGTACTCGGAACACGTTATTAGGGTTACAAAGGCGCTTTTGTTTTTCGATTCATTCGTAAATTGTATCGGTGAAAGCCTTACTTCCTCAACAAATGGGAAGCAAAGTATAAAAGAGATAGCTTAAAAGCCCATGGAAAGTAAACAAAATATATTTTATATATAAAAACATATACTACATTTTATACGGCAAACATTTTTTTCGGTCATAACATTCTGATTATTTTTGATGATAAAGTTTCATAGGGAACTTGGACATGAAAAGAAGTAGAACTTAATTTAATTGAGTTGGACGTTTCGTCCCTTTATTGG